GGCCATAATATTAAACCAGCAGCCAGGTTTGACACTCATTGGTGAGTTGGAGAGAAAAACATTTCCTCTGTTATTTGTTTTACCCTCAGTTTTACAATTATTTGTATTTCCATCCATCCATCCATCCATCCATCCATCCATCCATCCATCTATTATCTTTACCTGCTTCTTCCTTTCTGGGTCGCGGGGGTCACTGGTGCTCATAGCAGTCACTGTGTGAGAGGCAGAGGACACTCTGGACAGGTCTCCAGTCCATCACCGGGACACATAGAGACAAACGAGACAAACAACCATTCACACTCTCACTCACATTGGCAGAAAAATGTTATTACCGTCCGAAGTGTCATAGTCTGCAGTAAAATAAAAACTTCCAGCAAAAGGCAATAAAATAACGTTCATGTGGACACATGAGTTTGTATATTTTTCAGTGGTGCAAAGTCAAACTTTGCGCTTGTTCGTTTTTCAGTAGAGTTGACATATTTTCATTATTTGCATGGCCACCACAATCTCAGCATGTGTTAAGTTACAACATGCAGCAATATTACAGCAACTACTTTTAATGAAAAATGTTGAAGATCGCAGGGAAATTATTACAATGAATCCCTGCTACAACTTTGTTGTCAAACCCCATTGATGCTAAGCTATACGGAAACCTTAAAGATACCAAAGGATAAACTATTTACATTTTTCCATAAACGTCTTCTTTAGTTCACCAACACAAAGACAATCTGCATGTATGCAAAAGAATACCTCTAAATTTAAAGTATAGACACTTAACTGGCCTGTATTCAGTCCAAAACAATTGGAGCAGAAACATAAATTAATAATTCAATTCAATTCAATTAAAAAATATGTTATTAATCCCAAAGGGAAATTAAATTGTTGTTGTAACTCATTATCCTTGTTTCATTAAGAGATGTTATAGATGCTGATGGCTGTAGGCAGGAAGGATCTCTTGTAAAGGTCCATCCCACAGCAGATCCGAAGAAACTGGCCGCAGATCCCGTCAGATCCGTCCACCCAGACTTTGCTGGCCTCTCACTTCCTTCGGGCTGCAGGATTACCCGGATGCTGGGCAGAACTCCTCCCAGTGTGATGGCCACTCCTCCCAGCAGCCTGCTGAGCTTCTCGTCACTGTGGACAGCCAGCTGCAGGTGCCGGGGGATGATCCCAGTCCTTCTGCAGTCACGAGCCGTGTTTCCTTCTATTTCCAGGATCTCAGTGGTCAGGCACTCGCGCACAGCTGGCAAAAAGACGGGAATGCATCCACAGTGCCTCCTTTTCAACTTATTTGAGATTTGGGGCTGTAGTTGAGATATTATTTGAGCTTTTAAGTTGCAGCTGCTCCCGGTTGTTAAAACAAAACAAAAAAAAAAACTTGTTTTTATGGTTACGCAACATAACAAATGCCCCATACTAAAAAACTTTCAGTAAAAATCTTTCCAGCTGCACAGCATCCGACACCAGAGGAAACAATCATCCAAAAAAATGATTTACATCCAGAAAAAGAGGAATTAAAGTTTCAAAAGCAAAATCTCAGAATGAATGTAACAGAGCTTCTCCAACATGCAACCACACCAAGTGGTGCAATTCTAGAATAAAAAAGACAAAGGTGTTGTCACTTGTGTTGAAACTGACCACCATCTTTATGAAGCTTGTTGTTGTCATGCTCACATGCCTTTTAAAGCAAAGCAGCAAAAATGTCAGTTTTATATGCTGTTGTATTTTCATTTAAATGTTAGCCTTCAGGTGGCTCAGTGGATGGAGCTGTTGCCTCTCAGTGAGAACGCTGCTGGATCAAATCCCAGCCAAGGACCTTTCTGGGTGGAGGTTGCATGTTCTCTCTGTGCATGCGTGGGTTTTCTCCAGGTACTCCGGTTTCCTCTCACAGACCAAAAAACAGAGGTGGAAAGAGTACTGAAAATTTGTACTTAAGTACATGTGCTGTTACACTGCTTAAATTGTACTCAGTTACAAGTAAAAGTGCTAGTGTTATAAAAATACTTAAGTAAAAGTACAAAGTATTATTCTCAAAAACTACTCACAATATTAATTACTTTTTAATCAATAGATGTTTTATTGTGTCATCAATAGAAGGCATTCAGTTTGATTTACTGTATATAACAGCTACATTCAAAGCACATTTCTCAGACGCTCTGAAGCTCCGTCTTATTTTAGTACCAGGCAAACCGATGGCAGTGACAGTATCTAAGATCTGTGCATACTTAGCCAAACTAATAACCCACACATAAAAACAATAAAACAGCAATATCATGCAGGTAGCTGTAAAACCTCGTATACCACAACATGTTTTTTGAGATTAGATGCTGAAGTCTTGTGAGCTGCTGTCACCGTAGAGATCAAACAAAGTTTCATCTGGACCTGTCTCCTCTTCACCCTCTGTACATGAAACATTCCTCCAGGTACGGCCACGGACACTCGTCCTCAGCCTTTACCTCGTCATTTTCTCTGTTGACAGTGTTGTCCTCTGTCTCCATTTTGGCTTTTTCTCCAAATCTTCGGTTCATAATTGACTCTCGACTCTACAGAGTTGTCCTTTGCTTACGTCATAGGTAACTGGTGCGTTCATGATCTGAGAGCCTTATTGGCTACAAAGATTCAGATGAACTGTTTGAATATTAATTCAAATTGTGGCCGTACTCAGTCATGACTTCTGATTTTAAAAGTAGCAAAGTACATTACACGGTCTAAATTGTACTTAAGTATGAGTAAAATTACACACTTGAAAGAAATACTGATAAAAGTACAAGCACCCAAAAAAATCTATTTTATTACAGTAATGTGAGTATTTGTAATTCATTACTTCCACCCCTGGCAAAAACATACACTAGGTTGATTGGTAACTCTATATTGTCCCTACAGGTGTGAGTGAGAGAGTGAATGGTTGTTTATCTATGTGTCTCTGTGATGGACTGGAGACCTGTCCTGGGTGTGTGTCCCCCCCCGGCTCAGTGACAGCTGGGTATGGGCACCAGTGACCCCCACAACCCGAAAACAAATAAGAGGATAAGATGGATAGGTGGATAGATGGATTGATGGATGGATGATAGATGGATGGATAGATGGATAGATAGATAGATAGATAGATAGATAGATAGATAGATAGATAGAT